GACAAATCCACAGCCAATACCTGCATCATTTAATGGTTCAGAAAAGTAAAAAGAACTCCAGCTTTGGAAGATTCCAGTTCCTTTAATTAACAACAATTCTGTTGCTAGTTGATTCATATGGAAAGTAAGATTCCCATAAGCACAGATTCCGATTGAACTTGTGCCAGGAATTTATCTTTCCCAGGTGCTCTTAATGTGAAAAGACATAATAATACCATCTCACAAGTCCTGCAGGATATATTGGACTGATTTTCAAAAGGAAGATGAACAAATGATCAGGATAACTTTCAGTTAAAAATATATGAAAATTCTCAGTAGTGATAATGCAGAACCATTTGCCATGGAAATCAAATTCTGAATAATAAAATACCCCACACATCTGCTTCCTGGATAAACAATTTCTATCAAAGAGAGAACAGCTGTCTTATCACATTAAAAATATTCAGCTCCTTAACCCTGACTTTAGCTCAGTGACGTTACAGAAAGTATACTGCAGATAAACCACAGACAAAAATGGCAAACATATGTCATAAAAACTGCAGAAATTATTGCAAAGATGCAGGAATTAACACTACAGCAAACAAACAAACAAACAAAAACAACAAAAAAAAAACTATCTGTGCTTTTCAGATTGGAAGATATTTTGCAACTTTGAAGAAAGCCATGATGCAGCTGATGATGTACTGATCACCTGGATGTAACAGAACCAGCTCCTATAATAACAGTACCATTTCCTCCCTTCAGCATGAAGGTATAAGAAACCCTCCTTGTTGAGACTTGCACTGACATGTCAAAGAATCTGCAATTATGCTGAAACACATAACATGTAGGCATAGATTATAATAGCCAGAACATTCATTCTGCCATCAAAACATCAAGATCCAGTGGTGTGAAAACTAACCAAGTGGGAGCAGAGACCCACTGAGAGACAGCAGCACTCAGACAGCTGATACACTGTGAGGGGCCAGCAGGGACTGCAGCCATTGCCCACATGGACAGAGGCAGTCCTGAGGAGCACCAGGTCAAGACTGGCACTCAGGGCAGTCAAAACGCTCAGATCGGGGACAGAGCTGGGCAGGCAGAGAAGAAGCATGGAGTCGAAGAAGGAGATGGACTTGTGGAGTCGTGTCCTGCAGTCCCTGAGACAGATGTGTCAGCTGGCCACAGCACAAGAAATGAAAGATCCCCTTCACCAGAAATGTGACTGTAAACCTCACTATCCTGGTAATGGCCCTCTGATTATTATCCATTATTGGTTTTTAATGTCAGAAGTCACAAGGTAGTAAATAGAAGAGAATTCAAATGGGACTTCAGGGCCTCAGGGAGACAGGTTACTCTTCTATCTTTCTGGTTCTGCCTGTGCCTGTCAGCGTTGTTCCCTGCTACCAAATGATCCACACGTGGCTCCAAAGCTGTTGTCACCAGCAGAATTTTGGGTTTCCTCATCATAGGATGATCTACAGAACACTAGGCCTGCTGATGCCTAATGGTATATACCTTTCTCAGAAGAGGAAAGAGATTTTTGTGCAGGACTTAGAGAGGTTGATTGATATAGGCTAAACAAGATTTGAAGAGGTAACAGAGATAAAAACCAGACTCTCCAGTGATGAGCTATGGGATGATATGCTGGAATTTGAGGGAGTATATGCTAGAGATCCTGCAGTCTGCTCCAGCAGGTACTGGCTATGGTTAAGCACATATGGAATGTTGCTACACCAAGGCGTGCAACATGCACTGAGAAGCAAGAGAGAGCCACAAGCCTTGGCTCAGTCCCAGAGCCACAACATCACTGACATCAGTGAAACCTGGTGGGTAGAGACCTTTGAGTGGTGTGTCGCAATTCTGGGCCTTTCTGCAGGGACAGGCAGGGTAGGTGAGATGGGGGGGAAAGAGAGTGGGGCTGGACTGTACAAAGATGGCACAGTTGGCAGCCTCTAGGTAAAGATTAAAGGACTAGCAAATAAGGGGGATGTTGTGGAAGAGTGCTATGGGCACTTAGTCAGGACAATGACACTGATGATGACTGGAACTAATAGATACCCTCTAGATCAGCTGCCTCTCTCCTTATGAGTCACTTCAACTTGCCAGACATTAATGGGGAATATATACAGCTGATACAAACAGCTCCAGCAGATTCCTACAACACCTTGATGATTACTTCTTGGTACAGGTACTAAGGGAGCCAACTAGGAAATGTGCTCCCCTTACATCTGTTGCTTATAAAAAAGTCTCATGGGTGAAGTGGCCATTGGTAGCCATCCTGGCCATTGTGACCAGAAGAAGTCAAGTAACTATCTCACCTTAGCAGACAGATGAATGCTAAGTAGCTAAGTAGTAGAAGGGAAGAGAATAAAGAAAAGAAAACAGGATAACTGTTTAGAGACACTTACAGTAGGTTGCATTCTTGTAAATACAACATATTCATAGGTTATTCTGAAAGTAATGCTTTCTATCTATTTCCATGGAAATGACAACAGATACAAAGAGCACAACATAACTTGACAGAGCAAATTCTCAGCTACAAAACAAAACACTGTTTTTCAACACAGTCACCACCATTAGCTATGCATTTTTGCCAGTGATGAACAAGAGACTGCATGCCACGCTCCTAAAAATCTGCACCAGAGGTGACTCACTGTCGCTACTGCTGAAATGCACCACTAACTGCCTCACTGTGCTCACATCCACTGTTTGCTCTCCAGAAATGTGCAGCAAGTGCCAATGAATGTCAATGCATGCCATTTTTTTCCACATGGAGGAATTCAGTGACACACATATGCACTTCCATGTCAGATGCCATTTTGTCAGACTGGCCCTCTGCTGTGATTTGTCACATGGCAACAAATGTAATGGAATATTGGTGGGATGGTTCAGCCTCTACTGCCATATCACCAACATCTGCCTCTGACATCATGGGAAAACATCAAAAAACAGGAGGCATTAGTTTTGGAGCATCCATCGTAGATGCTGTCTTTGTCATGGGGTGAGAAAAAGAAGTCAGAGTTACCATCTCTCTGTGCTCCTCTCTCATAAACACTGAACAATTTTGATGTCTTTATTTTGTTCCTATATCACATAAAAACTTTTTGCTATTCTCAGGTTAAACTACAAAATGCTTTTTGATTCTCTTAAGTTCTGGTGTGACTTTATTAAAGAGGTTTATTTAAATTCACATATATTCAATATAATTAAAGAAAAATAAAATCTTATATCTTTATCTCAGATGTTTAACAGCAAAGACTTATGGCAAGTGAGCGGTCCCAACAGAACACAGCCGCTGTGTTATCTATCAACTGCACAGAAGCATGGGAAAACATACTGCAAAGAAACAGTTTTGCCTTGGAATTGGAATGAGTGAACCGGTTCTAATGAGTCTCTTTCATTACAGTTAGTTATCTCCCACTTAGCAAATATATAAAATAAAAAACTTCTGCTTTTAACAGGGTAAAAAGGAAAACTAGAGGAAAAGAGAATTCAGGAGAAATGTGAATTTCCCACCCCCCTCACACAGCTTCTAGACTGCAAGATAAAACCTGAAGCCATATTATTTTGAACGAAAGAGTCTCAGAATTTTATGGAAGGATAAACATGCAGCTAGGAAAAACCCTTCATCTCATGATTAATGGTACAGTGCTAGAGAAGGCAACGTCATTAGAGACTTGCTAGTCAAACAGTAAATCTGAAGCGACTTATCAAATGAGTTCTCCAAGGAGTCCTCTCTAACCTCATAGCATCAGTGCTATTCCAATAAACTTTGAACTGATGTTCATTATATTACATTTCTGTTGATTTTTCTGGGCATTTCAAAGTAGAAGATTACAGGTCAAGCATTCAGTTAAAATATATATATATATATATTTTTACTTGTCAAAAGAAATGTTGGTATTTATTTTACAGCCAAATTTTCCTCTTTCTTGTTCACAGAAAGCCTCATTCCCATATCTCAGAGCAAAATTTAGCCCATAGTTTAGTTTTATACACTCAAAATCCTGTCTTTGTCTAATGAGATACTTTTTATTTTATAGAATCACAGAACGGCCTAGGTTGAAAAGGACCACGATGACCATCTAGTTTCAACCCCCCTGCTGTGTGCAGGATCACCAGACCAGGCTGCCCAGCCTGGCCTTGAATGCCTCCAGGGACGGGGCATCCACAACCTGAGATAATGCTGCTCAGCCTTTCTACTTCCTCCTTAAGCTCCAGCACCATGTGAGCAGATCGCCCACCTGCTCACACCGCACACAGGAGGTATCCCTGCTGCCTGCTGAAGCAGTGACGGGGCCAGGCATTCTCTGCAGCCTGAGACCTGAACTAAGGCGTGGACATTCGTGCTTTCAGGCCGAGTCTCCACGTCCCTTTTAGGAGCAGCTCGCCGCCGTGTGGTGACCACGGTTGCACCTCGGTGTGTCCAGAGAGCAACGACCTGTTAAGTGCTAAGTGCTAAGTGCTAAGCCCGCTCCAATGTAGCAAGGTATCCTGCCTTGCCTGCTTGCTCGTACGCTTGAGGTTTGCCCTGAAAATAACTCGTTTCACAGCGAGATAACAACCCTTCTCCCTTACGTGGACGTGGAAATAGGCGGCTTACCGTTTCTCCTCGTCTGAACGGCCCACGTGAATCGCACACCCTGACTCCTCCTCTCCCCCCGAGGCTTTTGCAAGGAAGAGGAGAGAATGCAGAGCCGTTGCCCTGGCACTGCACGTCAGCCGCTCTCGCGAGACCTGCCGCGCTGCTCTGTTACCTCGGGGATCCCTGGACGAAGGAGAAGCGGGAAGCCCAACTTGTACCTCGTGATCAGCTGCGGTTGTGGCTGGGACAGCTCTGAAGCAGCTAACCGCGGCAATCACTTACTTAAGAACTATTAGTTTTGTTTGATTAGTATCACTGAGTTATAGAGTGATTAAGGTTGGAAAAGATCACCAAGTCCAACCATCAACCCATCACCATCATGCCCACTAAACCATGACCCCAAGTGCCACGTCTCCACATTTCTTACACATCTCCTGGGATGGAGAACCCACCACCTCCCCGGGCAGCCTGTGCCACTGCCTCACCACTCTTTCAGAGAATAAATTTTGCCAAATATTCACACCGAACCATGTGTTGCAGAGAGATGCAACAGCCTCCTTGCAGCATTTCCCAAGAGGGTCGCCTGGCGGAGAAGCTTCTATGGCATGGGCATCCTGTAGGAAACACTAGAGCGATTTTGGGATGTATATTATCAATAGCATGTACCACACAACCTCTGGAAGGGTGCTTGCAATGTCTCCTACAAAGATGAATTTCACCTTACAGCCCTGTGTAGCAGAGATTTTCACCAAGAGGTTGAAACCCGCATAAATAGCTGTTTCAGGTAGGTCAGCTTGAGATGCAAGCCAGCAAAGGTTGCATCTGAATTTGAAAAATGCTAGGTCTTCAGATCTTAAATTCTAAGTGAAACACAAGGGGTATCAAGTTCAAAAAACAAAAAAAAAACAACAAACAACCACCACCCATCCTGAAATCCAAGGCCGTGTTAGAAGAAGTCACCTGCATGATGTGACCAAAGTCACACATCACATCCTTGGCAGTTTGAGGAAAAAAGTGATATCCAGATTGCTAGTCCTGTTTGTTAATTGAATGATCTAATGGTTATGTACGCTTGTGGAAAACTGTAATAGAAAATGAGAATCCCATGCTTCATTAATGGCTTTGAGATATTTGTTGTTGAGGAACAACTCAAAGCCTTAAACACATTAACTTCTGGGAGAAAAAGAAATCAAGACTAACTAATGACTCTATTGGATGTGTTTTGGAAAGGGATTGAGAGATCTGAATCTCCAAATTGAGAAGGTATTTCCATCACCTGGCAAAACACAGATTCATCTTTTGCCAAAGAGAAGTTCAATGTACTTGCAGGAGCTGCAGCTGAAAGAACAAAACTTTGACAATACACACTAATGCCTTTGGAACTTAACAAGAAATACTATTTTGTTGTTAAATCAATCAGGTGGACAGTACCATTTAGCCCACCTTTCACAGAATCACAGAATCACAGAATGGCCAGGGTTGGAAGGGACCTCAAGGATCATGAATCTCCAACCCGCTTGCCACATGCAGGGCCACCAACCTCCTCATTTAATGCTAGACCAGGCTGCCCAGGGCCCCATCCAACCTGGCCTTGAACACCTCCAGGGACGGGGCATCCACAACCTCTCTGGGCAGCCTGTTCCAGCACCTCACCACTCTCTCTGTAAAGAACTTCCCCCTGACATCCAACCTAAATCTGCCCTCCCTCAACTTAAAACTGTTTCCCCTCATCCTGCAGTTATCTACCCTTTCAAAGAGTTGATTCCCCTCCTGTTTGTAGGCTCCCTTTAGGTACTGAAAGGCTGCAATGAGGTCACCCCGCAGCCTTCTTTTCTCCAGGCTGAACAAGCCCAGCTCTTTCAGCCTGTCCTCATAGGGGAGGTGCTCCAGTCCCCTGATCATCTTCGTGGCCCTCCTCTGGATGCTCTCCAACAGCTCCCTGTCTTTTTTGTACTGGGGGCTTCACGCTTGGACGCAGTGCTCCAGATGAGCCCTCACAAGAGCAGAGAAGAGAGGAACAATCATCTCTCTGTCCCTGCTGGCCACCCCTCTTCTGATGGAGCCCAGGATACCATTTGCCTTCCAAGCCGCAAGGGCACACTGCTGGCTCATGTTAAGTTTTTCATCCATCAGGACCCCCACATCCTTCTCCACAGGGCTGCTCTCAAGAAGGTTGCTCCACACCAACCACCCTGAGGTACTGGAGGCAAACTAAGCCTTCATGCATTACCTTTATTATTATTATTATTATTGTTTTGTGTCCCTGACTTTCGAACACTGGGGATTTATGGTTTTACACTCACAGTTTTTCACAGAGAGCTTGCTGCACAAACAGCCGACAGGCATGCATTGACAACACCTCAGGCTTTATTTTATTTTATTTTATTTTATTCTATTTTATTTTATTTTATTTTATTTTATTTTATTTTATTTTATTTTATTTTATTTTATTTTATTTTATTTTATTTTAATTTTGTCTCAAAAGCACACTTTCTACGATCACCGTTCCAACCCAGCCCGCGCTGGGGGCGGTGTCCTCCCGGTGTTGGCGGGAGGGAGGGAGGCTGGGAGCGGGGCGGTGCTTTTCGGCTCCTTCCTACCCACTCTCCAGCGCGTCCGCCCGCTCAGTTGTCATGGCGGCCTCTGCACTAAGTTTCGTTCGGAACCTGTGCTGGCGGCGTATCTGCGAGATAAGGTGAGCTCGGGCCGCCTCCCCTTGAGATGCCTCGGAGAAGGGTGGCCTCTACGCGTCCCTGCTCCGCAGCCGCCCGTGCCTCTCGGGGCTGCCCTGGGCGCGCACTCGCGAGGCCTTTGTGTGGTTGTAGCGCTGAGGGACTCGGTTGGGGCGGGTTGGTGGTTGGTCTAGGTGAGATCAGTGCTTTTTTCTAACTTCAGCAGTTCTGTGATTCTGTGATATCAGGGGTGACTCAGGACTCTGAGAGCAAAGTTGGAGTTTGCACCGCTTTGATCTGCTCTTTTAGTGGTGTCAGATATGCTTCTAACGTGAACGGCTTTGGGCATTCGCATAGAGGATGGGTCCTTTTTTTCACAAATAAAACACAGTTTAACACCAAGCAGTAGGGCTGTTGAAGTCCCGTCAGCTTGGGTGGCAGTGGAGCAGTTCTTAACCTTTGGCACAATTAATCAGTGTTATGAAATACTGTTGCTGGTAGTAAAACATTGACTTGCATCCTTAAGCAGCGCCACAGCTGCAGTAGTGGTAAGAGATCCAAATTCTCTTTCTTTGGATCTTGCATAAAGTTATAGGACTGATTAAAACTGAGCTGCGTGTAATTGTGTAACCACAACCAAAGGTAAGTGATAGGTGTTTTCTTTGGCCCTGAATTGTCAGAGCACATCTATATGTCCTGCCCAGCGATATTAACTATAATATCTTATTCTAACTGATAGCTGATGCGGAGCTCAGCTGGATTTACTGTTTTTAATTCACCCTGTTTTTATTTCAGAACACTTCATTTCTCAGTTTCTGTCCTTAGGTCAGTCATGAAGATCTCAGAAATGAGGCAAACTTACCCACTGAAGAGGGAGACACTGGAATTGGAGATTGTCCACCATTACAGTGGCTGATTTTTCTTTACTTCTTGTATATGTGTGCATGTGTATGCATATATATATATAAGCTTATGGCTTTTCTTCCTGTGTCTGTACACATATACAAAAAGTTAACTTTTGCTGTTTTTGCTTTCTTGCTGCCACTTCTTCACACACATCCCCTGTGCCCAGGTGTTTTTATTTTTGATCCACATTTCAAATGTGTAAGTGCTACACTCAGAAACAATACTGCATCTTTTTACCATAATGAAAAACTTTGAATCACTTAAAGAAATACTTCATTAAAAGTGATCATTATGTTTCTGAACAGTTATCTTTGCTTCTACTTTGTTCTATTAAAAGTTGCTCTTGTCCAGTTCAGTGGCATCTTTTGGGTGTATTAGTTTAAAAACAGAACAAAAAAGTAGACATTGGCAGTGCTGATCAGCTGTGTGATGGCAGTCCCACTGCCAGAAGAGAAAGGAACCAAGACTGAGAGGAAAAGCAGAGGCTCTGGTGCAGGCAGTGTCACTGATCAGAGCTCGTATAAGCCCTGTCTGATGCGTGATGCAAGAGAAATGTCACTCCCACCACTACTAAAGGTGTTCTCTTTACATTAATAATTACAATAAACACCTTAAAATCTGCACAGCTTTGGACATGATTTGATTCTTTATCACTGTTCTTTTGAAAGATTTTGGACTATTTCCCAACAAGAAACTGAAGTCACTGCAGTCTGGACATTCAGTGGCAGAACTTTTCTCCCTAAGTTTTGTGAGAGATTCCTTGAAGTATGTATATGAGCATCTTAAGATACAGAGAGAAACAAAACTAATGCAAATTATGTGATCAATATGACTTTTGCCTTCAGTTAAAAAAAAAAAAAACCAACAAGCAACAAAGACAATCCCTTTAGGCAAGTTTTCTACCAGTAAATGTTATTAACTTAATATGCTAAGCCATTACAACAGGAAAGGAGGAAAGACATTCTGAATTGGATAACAAAGGAAAATGAACTGCTACACATTATTAGATGTAATTCAGACATTAATAATAACGATTTAATGCTTTTAGTAATACAGAAAAAAAGATGCATCAGAAAGACGAGATGGTTATACTATCAGATTTGTATCAAAGACAGTACCAAAAAAAGAGATACATCTTTAGAATACTCATAGAAATACAAGGGCAAAGCACAAGAGTACTTAATTCATTCTGTTTTGAACAGTACATTTCCTTCCAGATACAGAGTTCTGAGTTCCGTATGCTGGATCTGCTATGCGCTCACTTCTTGTTCTTTCTCATTCTATGTAATTGTTCTGATCTGCATTTGTCTGAAAAGGGGAGGCTGACAAAGTTGTACTCAGAACGTAATACTGTATCTGCCCAGCATTTGTACTTTCAGCTGTTTAGAATTGGAGGCTCTACAACTCCATTGCTGCGAGGTGGGCTGCATTTGCTTTTTACGGCTGGTCAGAGTAGTAGGAGCAGAATGTTTGTTGGTGGGAAGACTGTGTCCTTGCTAACCTTGTTTTGAGGGTTTATTTCATACTAGTTGTAGTACAATCCTAGCACTGAGTGCCTGTTAGCAGCCAGCCGACATCTTATGAGTTTGTATAATCTAGGAGGAATCTAACATGTATTTGTGAGACAGCTCTGCAAGAGAAACCAGGGGAGAGCAATTGGAAATAATTTAGGGATTTTCTCCAAGAACGTTGTCATCTAAACAAAGACACTGATGTCGATACACCCCATCATCCCAGCTTGTTTCTTGTCATAGTACTCTCAGCAACTTCAAAAGAGGCTAGGTCCTATCAAAAACAGCTTTCTATCAACTGATGTTTTATTTCTCAGCAACACTAAAGAGCCTTTTCAAAGAAATGCTATTAAACACTAGCATTTCAAATAAGGTGAACTGAAAAATAGTTAATTTTTTTGTAAACTGTTGGCTTTTCCTTCCTTATTTGGCCTTAGTGATCTTTTTGTGTGTTTGGAATACTCCCTTCTCCCAGTAAGTCTATTTGTACAAGAATATCAGCTCTTCAGCTTGGGAGGCAGCAGCTTTAAGGGCTAGAGTTCGCTTCCACTCTGTCTCTTGGACAGTATCCAAAGTCTGTCTTTGGCTTCCCAGCACCATCTTGTGACTGGGCATCTGCAGGTTTTCAGCCCACTCACACAGCAGAAGCTCAGTACAAAATCCCAGTGAAATACACAACAGTCATTACTCAATCTCTGCAGCCATTTTCTATTCCCGTCTGGGAATTAACTGAACCTGCTCTCTGAATTGCTTGTCCTGTATTTGAAAGCATAATTACATTCATTGGTCATTATACGAATGGCCCTTTGATATATTTATAGCAGAGCATGATGTTATAGCCTTTGAAGACTTTCCCTTCATCAGTGACTTAAGTGTCATCTCTTTCTGCAACCCCTTACAGTTCTCTTGTTAAGTAAGAGACTTACATCTCTTACTGCCCTCCCTTCCACCATGTTAGTTAAGGCAGAGAGATGTAAAGTTCTAGGAAGAGGTCTGGGGTTTTTGTCTTTACCCTGGGACTATGTGTGTTATAAATAAACTCTTCTGGTGAGAGTGGAGGAGGAACTAATCTCTTGTGGCTATGAGATTGTTTCTGTTGTCTTCACCAAATGGCCATGGTATGGGCTGTGTTTGCTTTTGGGTCTAATTGCAGGTGTTGGCACAACCTGAGCAGATACAAACCTTGCCTCGCAGAAAACCTCAATGAGGCTGTCCTGGGGGTGACCAGTCAGAGTGGTGGCATCCTTTTCTCTGTGCCATTTCTGCCTCAGAGGGAGTCTGCCTTGTGTCACTGTAGTAGGCAATGCCCACTCCTTTTTGTAAATCCTATTTAGAAAGCTGTGGTTGGGTATGGCCATGCAAACTTTAGTAGCTTTGTTT